AATTAATGCTTCAATTCTTCTCGGCATACTTTCAATAAGGTTATGTAACACATCCTAAGGAATTTGAGACCATTCTTTTATTGCAACCTTCAACTTTGTTCATACGTGACAAGGACATAAAGTTCTAGTCATTTATTTAAACTACCAACTATTAAATTTTTATTAAATTTTATAAAAATCATAAAAGAACAATATAAAAATGAGATAGAATTGCCAAACCCTAAGCTATATAATGATATAAATTTTATGTACTTTTGTTATGTGGCATTTTGCGTAATTATTAAAAAACATCGTCCGAATACTTTCTGGAAGGTAGTGTATATTTATGGTTGCTAGTACTATGACTTAAGAAAAGAAAAGAAAAAATATCAGCTACTACTAGTTATTATTATTATTATCACTATATACAAGGGAGGGACTAAGGAAAATGGATTGATAAAGAAAAAATTTTTAATTGGATCTTATTTGAATTATTATTATTATTATTAATTTATTTGAATAGAAACCTCAAGTGTTATTTATTAAAAAGATGGCGGTTGTCACGATTTCAGTTATTTATAAATTCGTTTTATTTAATCTTAAGAAAAACGCTTTGCAAAATTTCGTCCTAAATGTTCAGCGGTAAAACATTAAACCATAAATGTTTAAGCATGCTTAAATAATAATATTAAGATTATTATATAGAAAGCAAAAAGCAGATTGAATGTGCAATGTCACAAAAAATGTCCTTGATTGATATATCTGAAGTTAGTAAATTACATCACATATTTGTAATATCAGAATCTATTGAAAATGTAAATATATAAAACATTATGGTTTAATTATTTATAATTGATTAATTAATTGAACATTTATTCATAATGTTGCTCTTGATGATTCCTCCACAACTGTTGATGTATGTTGCTCTATAGATTGCAGGCGCAACACGATACAAAGTGTGTGACTTTCTAAACCAGAAGGTCCATGTATATAGAGGCCTCTAGAGGGGTTTTTTTCATTGATAGCTTGACGGAAGACATCCAATATTTGCTGATGGTGTTTCCCGGTAATGATAAGTACTTTTTCGTTCTGAAGACGGAAACATTCTTGAAGATTGTTGGGTCCCAGCTTTGGTAGTTGGACAATGGTGACGGAAACTGTCTGCAAGTCAGCACCAATACTTGCTGCTTGCTGTAAAATGCAAAAGAAGAAACAGGTTCATGTCCATTCTTGAGTTTTTTATTAAGGTGAAAAAACGACATGGTGGATCAAGCTGACAGTGAAATGTCATTAAGAAGTTTCTATAGAAAATATGTCATGTACCAAAATTTTTTGTTGATTCACGTTTCCCAAATCAACAAAAATTTCAGCAGGTATTATAGAATAATTTTTATCGATATATTTAGAAAGAATTTAGGAAAATCTATGATTGAATAAAATTATAATCATAAATAAATATTATAATGCGAATACGAGGCAATATTTTTGTTAATTATTTAAAGTTTCATCGTCATTGTATTCGTAGAGGTTATTCAATAAGAAACACTATTACTAACAATAATAATGCTAAATTACTCGAAATCAGGGAAGAATTTCGTAAATTAGGGTAAAGTTTTAATATTAATAATATTCTTTATTATTATAGATTGATTGATTAATCTAAATCTAATTGTTTAGTGGTGGATCTATTGATTTTAATCCAATATTTTCGCCAGGAATTGGATTAATCACACTTAATAATCCTAAAAAACATAATTCATTAAGTGGCAAGATGATGGCAGAATTGGCAGATTTGGTTGATAGATTAGAAAAGGTTGTAAAGATTGATGTTTGCAACGACGATGATGAAAATAATGAAATCAATAATGATCGTGATCGTGATTATGACGATTATGAAAAGAATTTGGTTGGATTGATATTAACTGGTAGTGAAAATACTTTTTGTTCTGGTTTAGGTAATAATATATTAAATTAATATATAATAAATTGTTATTATTAATTTTTCTAATTATTATTATTAATTAAAGATTTAAGTGTGGCAAAAGACCATATAATAACACCTGAAAATGGGAAGAAAATGAGTTTACTTATGCAAGATACATTATTTAGATTCAACAATTTACCACTGATCTCTATAGCAGCTATTGAAGGGTATGCATTAGGTGGTGGAGCAGAACTAGCTACAGCTTGTGATCATAGATGTGTTTCAGGTAGATGAATAAATAATGTAATATTTTTTTTTCTCCAAAAATCAATAATAAAATCTAAAATGCTATTATTAGAGAAATCTAAGATTAGATTTGTACAAGTAAAAATGGCAGCTACATCTGGATGGGGAGGAGGGAATAGATTAATTAATATAGTTGGTAGGAATAATGCATTAAAATTATTGGGGAAAAGTGAATTGTTAAGTTATAATAATAATCATCAACAAGATCAACAAGATATTATTGATATTGGATTTGTAGATGTGGTTTCCAAGGAAGGAGGGACCATTAAAAAATCCATAGAATTTCTTGATTCTTATATTTATTTTCATAGTAAGAAACAACAAATTGAAGAAAAAAATCGAGATGAAGAACATCATCCAAGAAAAAGAAATAGTGTTAATGCAGTAAGTATTTTTTTTAATATAAGTGGTTATATAAACTTATAAACAAATCATTGTTATAATTATTATAATTATTTTTTTAGGTAAGAGGAATTAAATTATTAATAGCAAACCATAATTCAACAGAAACACAAAAAAAATTATTAGATTATGAACATGAAATATTTTGTAAACTTTGGGGTGAAAAAGAAAATATCAAAGCAATTTTGAAATCCAAAAATTAGTTTTAATTATTCAATAAACCATTTAATAATTATCTAAACAATCATTCCATTTGAAAAACTTACAATCAAATAAAATTTATTAAGTAGCACTCTGAATTAAAGTAATATTATCACCTTTCAACAAGATTCTTCCTAAATAATAATATTAAGTAGATGGGTATTCATTAGAGAGAGATAATAATAATAATTGCTCAAGATATTATTGATAATACTAGTTGGCATAATTTACCTAATGATTTTCTAGACTTTTTCTTGACATTTATTTCTTCAGCATCATCAAGAACCAAATTCATAAATTCATCAAATCCCTAGAAAATAAACAAATAAATTAATTCTTAATTTTACTCATCAAATAAATCGAATTAATTATTTGATTGATTAAAGAAATTATTCACAATAATTTGCCCTTCAATTCTTAAATCTACTTGTTCATATAACCATATTTGAACTCTTGTTTTCTATTAAAATAAATATATTTATTATGAATTTATTTATAATATATACCAATATTAAGATAATTATAAATATAATTAATTAATTACATTTTGTAAGTATTTAAAAATCAAATTCTAAAGAATTACAAAAAGATAAATCATCAGTATATAACAGAATGGAATTACAATAGAATACAATCTTTTTTAAAATACTTACAATGGGCTGAACCATAATCTTTTGAACTTTTGTTGCCATATTTATATGCACTATACACTATATGTATGTTATAATTTTTTTTTTGAAGATTTGATAAAAATAAAAATTTAGTAAAATTTTTTTACTCTCGCGTGTAACATCAAATTTTTAATTTAACAAAAAAACCGCTTTTGTTCTGGTTGAAATTTAAGGAAAGGTTATTGTTACAAAGCAAATCTATATTTTAAAAAGCAAGAGATAAAAATAATAAAAATAATTCATAAAATTAAATAGTCATAAAAAATGAACTCAAATCCGCATCAATTATATCATTTCAACAACTATGCTTCTTTTTACTTTGTCAAGCGAAGTTGTATGTATCAATAAAGCAGTCTAGATAATTGTAGAAAATACAGACGACTCTAAATCAGCTTCTTGTCCACCATAAGATTATGCCTGTCAATGTGATACGCGCAAACGTATTTGTTTGTTTATTTTTGTCTAAAGACTTCGTTTTCATAATTAAATAAATTAATGATGTTACCTTCCACTTGAAAAAAAAAACAATTTAGAAATTCAACATTGTTTTCAACAATCTCAAGATATTGATATTCAAAAAAAAAGGAAAAGCCTACGAGGTAAATTTATTTTTTTCCCTATCATCATTGCCATCGTTGTCACACTCTTCCTTTCATTCTTATTATTAACAATTAATAACTAGCTTGCAATCCAACAGTTTTGTGAGCTGCCAGTTCAACAACAGCTTTTCCTATAAGATTTTTTTTCCGAAAAGTACATATTCAATGTATTTTCCATGTACTTTCCTATACATTTTCAGTGCATTTTCAGGGCAAATATGTATAATTCCGTACGGAATATGCGGACAATGCATGGAAAAACCATATATTTTCTGGCAAAATTTTTATAGGAGCATGCCCAAGGTGTTTTGGTCAGCAACACCCGAATCATTGCCAGTTGGAGTGGTTGAGATAGTTTTACTTGGTATGTCGTCCATAGCTTTATCAAATTAATTCCGAATTTTTCTGAAGTTAAGTCCAATTTGCTTTACCTTGAGAGCATGGAAATTTGAAATTTCTAGTATACCTTGAAAATGTCGCAATGCACCCGGACCAATCAGTTCTTGAAATGGATCGTACAGGAGGTTAGTTCTAGCGTAAAGAAGTAAAAATAGTAATAGTACTTTATCATGAATCAAGAGATGGAATGATTTTACATCACCAATACACCTTGTTTTCCTCTAGTTGTAACCAATGCATCTCGTAATTTCCAAATATCTTCCTCCCAAGGATCTTCTTTTTCCTTCAGCTTCTTCCTGCCTTCTTCTAAAGCCTCTTTTTCTTCTTTACGCTATTTCTTTTCTTATACTTCTCCTTTCTCAATTTCTTCAACTCTTCCAACTTCTACGTACCTTTTGTGTTCTTCTTTTGCATCTTCAAGTTCTCGTCCAATTTCTTTGATGCTTGCCATTTTGTTTGTAAGTAAAAGATTCTAAGAAAAAAAAGTTTTTTTTTATTTATTTAATGTTAAATCTAACAAGTGATTAATTGTCAGCAATTAAAAAAAAACTTTTTTGCTTTAATCCAAATAATTTTATAGAAATAAGATAGAAATTGTCAGAGTGCTTCTTGCATTGGAGGAAAATAATCGTACCCAAAGCAATTATTACCTATTTTTGGGCGCATTTGACAAAAGTCTAACTTTGACTAAACATTTTTGTTAAATTAAATTTACTTGTAGTAGAGTTATTAAAAAAATAGGTGTTACAGTCTTTTAAAATCAATGAAGATTTAGTCTTTAATACTGATTTTTTTATCAGGTTTGGTTTTACAATTGTAAAATATTAACAAGAATTACGGCCGCGTTTTTTCATTGATATTTGCCTATTTATAATTTTTTCTTGAGCGTCATGGATCAATAAAAATGTTTGATCCATAAATTCATTGTAGTACAAACGTTACAATCTTTAATTTTTCTTCGGCTTCGCTACCATTTTGTTAGGTATCACATAAAAATACCCCAACTAAAAAGAATAGAGCTCAAAAAATATCTGTCATAATAAAGTTTGAGACCTACAGAAATGGACTTCTTTTAAAGTCAGGTGATGATTATTGGCGTTTATAAAGTTACGATTTGTACATTCAACCCAAAAATTGGTATCATCATTATAATAATAAATAAATACCTAATACAGTCAAAGTCTCTATACCAAACTTCCGATAATCGAACTGCTCTCTATAACGAACTAAATTTTTGGTCCTGATTTTTATTAATTAAATTTGCAGAATGATTCAAAAGAGGACATTTTTTCTTTCTGAAAGTATCTTTTTGATGAACGATAAAAGCTTTTTTCTTTGCGTGTTAATTTCTCATCAGAGTCTTTTTTACAGGATAATCAACCAATGAAAGTGTCGCAGTAGATTCTTTAAAAATAAAATTGTGTCACAATTATTGGTTCGCAAACTTCATAGATAGGTTACTGCCGCAGCTGGTCAAATTCATATATAAACTAGAACTAGAGTGACGATAACCACCACCACCACCATTCTTTTGATAAATACTTACCCTTTGGCGGCACCAAAGGTATCTGTTTGTTTTCTTTTTTTCTTATTAGATTGATACATTTTTTTATTGTTATTTTTAAAAAAATAAAAAATAAAAAGTAAACAAAAATGTATATAACATATTATTATTATTGGCACTTGGTAGTTGTACAAAGATGTTTTTTTCAAAGCTTTTAAAGATTTTGTTAAGCAAGAAGTTTTCCTAGTGTAGGAATTGAACATAAAGCAAACACGTCAAACCTTGTTTCAACGAATATATGGAAAATCACATTTAAAATTCGTTTATTATTATTATACCAAAATTACTAATCGTGTTTCAATGAATTTTATGTTTTTTATATGTGAAGCAAAATTTTTTTGTAACGTGAATTTAATAATTCATTGAAACGAGGTTTGACTATATAGGGCAAGAAAATGATATTTTTGATGGAAATTTCAAAAGATACAGATGTTGTTGATTACAGGAAAGCTTTTTGCAAGAATTATTAAAAATTCATGTCATATGCCCAGATGAAAATGAAAATAACATTTTCGTTATGTTTTTAATTTAATTTTTTTTTATTTTTAATATTAAAAAAGGCAAAAATATAAAAGATTAATTTTCCAAATTAATATGGACAGCTTTAAGTTGAGTATATTGATCTAAAGCATATTTTCCAAGTTCACGACCCATGCCAGATTCTTTATACCCACCAAAAGGACTAAATATTGAATATAGATATATTATTTTAGTGAATTAGTAGTTAATATTAAAAAAACCAAATAATAATTAAATGAATATTTACACGCTTGAATATAGTGAATTAAAACAATTCACTATTTTTTTTTCAACAAAAAGAAAATATTAATAATATATACACACAAATGAATGGAAAAAGAGAAAAAACCTCTCAAAAACAAACCCCAAACAGTTCCAGCTTTTAATGATTTAGAAATTTTAATTGCTTTTGAAATATCTTTGGTAAAAATAGCGGCAGCCAACCCATATTTAGTCATATGAGCTTTTTCGATGGCTTCTTCAACGGTTTTAAATTTTGATATTGCAACTACGGGTCCAAAAATTTCCTCTTGCATTATTTTCATTTTTTCATCCTAATTTATTTGTAGAATATAAATTAATCATTGATAAAAAAAAAGAAAATCGTTACAAAAAAAAATATACTTATTTACCACATCCGTGAGAATTGTTGGTTCGATAAAATAACCTTTATCACCTAATCTTTCGCCACCTACTAAACAAGTAGCACCTTCTTCCTTACCACTTTCAATATAAGACATTATTTTATCAAATTGTTCTTGTGAGATTTGAGGACCTTGATAAGTATCATCAGAAAATGGGTCACCAACTTTGATTTTGTTGGTATGTTCTTTAAACTTTTCCAAGAATTGATCATAGATTGTGTCCTGAACATAAACACGAGAACCAGCAGTACAACATTGACCATGATTAAAATATATTCCCGTGTTTGCCCATTTCACTGCTTCATCCAGGTCTGCATCTTCCAAAATTATATTTGGTGATTTACCTCCCAATTCCAATGTTACTTTTTTCAAATTACTGTCAGCTGATTCCTTAAGAATTTTTTTTCCAACACTCGTGGATCCTATGTGGAGAAAAATTGAAAAGAGAAAGAGGAATGAACATAGAATAAATGAGGGAAGGGGTTTTTTTAAAATAAAAATAATGATAATATATACCTGTAAACGTGATTTTTTCAATTTTTTCGTGTTTAACCATGGCAACACCAGTAGGTGTACCGTACCCCGATAAAATATTAACAACACCTTTAGGAAATCCTGCTTCTCTAAATAATTCAGCAACTTTTAATGCTGATAATGGCGTATATTCTGACGTTTTCAAAACTACAGTGTTACCTAAACGGAAACAATTTTTTTTTTTAATTTTATAAATATATATTCTCTAATAACATAATTTTCATTGATAATTACCACATGCTAAAGCTGGTGCCAATTTCCATGATTGTATCAACAAAGGAAAATTCCAAGGAGTTATTGCACCAACACAACCGTACGGTTCATGTCGCACATATGAATGTGTATTCTTTGAAGTTTCTATCACCTTTTTTTATAAAAGCATTATAAATATTATTTTATAATATAGAGTGATCAAAGAAAAAAATCATATATTATTATTATTATAGCCAACCTTTCCATGAATTTTATCAGACCATCCTGCATAATATCTATAACAATCAATTGCACCGGATAAATCTACTTTTTTTGCAAAAGATAAAGCTTTACCATTATCTAAAGATTCCAATGCTGCTAATTCATCCAAATCTCGTTCCATAAGATCAGCCAATTTATTCAACAAACGACCCCGCTCATTTCCCTCCACGTGACACCAGACATTGTTATAAGCTTCTACAGCTGCTTCAACTGCAATATCGACATCTTTTTCTGATGCTTCTGAAACCTTTGCAATTACTTCTCCTGTCGATGGATTAATTGTTTCAAATTTTTTACCATCAACTGCCTCTACGAATTCGTTATTGATAAATAATCCGGTGTTGACTAAAACACGCACGCGTTCATATAAAATAAAATACAAAATCAACCAATACTGATTTTTATTATCATGAAAACTTATTCACAAATATCAGATATTAAAATACTTTGAATTGTCTTTTCAACGTTTGGTATAGTAATGCTAATTTCATGAGACTTCATTTTTTTTTTTTTTTTTTTAAAAAGATGAAAATTTTTAATGATAATGAGTTTTTATAATGTAATAGTAAGTTATTATGTTACATATGCGTGAACCAATCCATTACTTTCTTTCAATAACGAAAAAAATTTTTAATGATTTTAATATTAGTGTTATTTAACTTTCAGTCAGATCATCATCATTATGAATTAATTGGATGAACTAAATTTCTTTCATTTAAACCTTATATTCTTTTTCACATGATCTTGAGAAATTTTTAGAAAGCATCACGCTATGTGTTTGTTCATTACTTTTAAAGTCATATATACCTCTTGCTTATTTTAAACAAAGCAAAGAAAATCTGCCAAATTAAATAATTATATATCTATCTGTCACGTGACACATCGAAGTGGCACAGTTCAAATAATTGACAAATTTCATCAAAGCATATGTCACCACCGTATATATATTCCTTAATGACAAGAAAGTTGTTTATATTCTTGAATACGACGGTCAAGTTTGGAGATCTAATCGTCTTCTAACAGAGTTGTAAAAATTATAATTACAATTAATGCTTAAATTTATTTTTTTATAAATAATCATATAATGATAATTAATTAATTAGAATTTAATTGGTTAAATTTATTTTTTAAGAAAATATTGATATTTTCATTTTCACAAAAATTTTTTTTATTAATAAACAATTCTTTATTTGCTTGTTTTTCAATTTCCTATTATTATTACTTTTGCCATCAATTGGTGGTATATAACATTATTTATTCAATCGTCGAAATTTATTATTTAATTGATTTCAAATTCTTCATCATTAGAGCAAGCCCTTTTTCTTTTAGTATACACGTCAACGGAATTATTATTGTTAGCAGTATTAGCGTTTTATAGAAGCAGAAGGTATTTTTTTGGATTCAGATCTGATTCATAATCACAATCATTTCAAGAGCTTGCTTCCAGAAAGTTGCTAAAATGGCATGGGTGATTCCATGTCACGCCATACTAATATTGCATGATAATGATGATGAGGAGGATATGGATAATAATCATTGGAAAATTTGTTTTTTTCATCTTGTTGAGTGTCGATTATACTTGCGTTCCATGATCAAGCACCTTTGATTGATTGACAAACCACAAAAATGACAAATTTATGGGGAAAAGTTACTTATGTTGGATTAATTACATTATTAATTTAAATAACTTGTGCGGATTTTTTGATGTTACTATTACACCCAAATATCATCATTATTAAGTCATGAAGTGTTTTTGCTTTACCTTATTTGGTTCTTGAGCCTATAGTTCTGGAAATTTTACCTATAAATAAATATAGCACAATATTAATATAACCAATCAATATATGACTATGTAAATTTCGGAAATTCTGTCTGTAATGTGCCGATTACAAAAAAAAAAATTTACATATAACTCAAACAATGTGACATTGTTTTCGCACGCTTCGATAATTGATCAAAGAATCGATTGAATTCTTTTCCAAATCAAATCAAAAAAATGGTTTGCATAATTTACGATTGTCAAAATGAATCCTTCGACGATGACGAACTTTGTAACGCGCACTTAACTTTATGGAAATGTAAAAAATCTCAGTTCTTTACATTCATTCATTTACTATCTTTTGGAGTTTTGTCTAATTATTATTGTTGTTGTTGTTGTTATTTTCTTGTTGTTATTTTCTTGTTGCTTTTCATTATTTAGTAAATCCGGCAAACCTTCAAGCGTCTATCAAAATCAAATCAAGGAATAATTATACGAATCTTATATGTTTACCAAAAAGTTGTCAAGAATTTTTAAAAATTCAAAATAAATTTTTAAGTGACTGGGTCAAAAAAAATGCAACTGGTAATTAATTAAAAAAAATTAAAAAAATCTTTTTTGTTATAGTCGAATTTTTTCTGATTATGGTTGTAATATAGACGTAAGAGTGGAGGCGATTTACAATATTTACCTATCACCCAATATCTATCAAAAATACAAATCTTATCGTGATTCCATTGAAAGTAATCATAGTTTCTCGAGTAAAGGATTGTCACCTGGAAACGAAAAACTTTTGTATCATGGTACTGATCATGATTGTTGTACAATGTTTAACGACAATACAACAAGTTTGCTTTGTAAAATGGACGAATGCGCTGGCTGTGGCATTTTAATCAATTCGTTTGATATTAAAAGAGTAAAAAACTTTTTTTAATAATTGACAAAAAATCAATAAAAATTAAAATCATCGATCGAATTTATTAAAAAATTATATTATTGAAATAGGTTGGGTTGAATAAACAAGGAAGAACGCCTCAAAGATTGGGCCAAGGAATCTATTTTACACCCTATTCATCCAAAGCACATTTCTATGGTCACCGTTGTGTAAGTGTAATAATAGATAATTATTATAATATATATATATATATATATATATATATATATATTAATAATAATTATATCTTTATTTGATAGGCAAGGCCTTTGCCGAATGATCAAAAAAGAAAAACTAGAATTATGTTCTTATCTAAGGTTATATACATATATACAGTTTATATGTGTTTTTATAATTAAATAATACTGTAATAAATAACAATAATATTGTTGTCATTTTAAACACTATTTTAATATTGTCCAGGTAGTAATTGGGAACACATGGCAACCCGATAAAGTATCGCACGATTTAACAAAACCACCAAGTGGCTATAATTCAACTTGGGGAAGGCAGGGTAAATGAAAAAAAAACCTCATCTAAAATTTTTAATTAATATGATGGTGATGATATTTATGAACTATTTTTAGGTTACTGTCCTTTAAATAATTCATTGTCTCCATTAGTGTTTGAAGAATATGCAGTATATTGGTTAAGTAGAAATTTTTATTTTTTACGTTTATTTTTATTTTTATTTTTTTACTAAATAGCAATTCTTTTTAAAAAATTAATATAGCAACGAAGCCTGCATACCATTTAAATACATAGTATATTCTTATTTAACAACCACTGAGTAATCAACGAATCATTTTTTGCTATTTTTGCCATATTTGGAAAAAAATACTTTGAAACTTTTGCTAAAATAAATAAGAATCGTTATATTTACAAGGAAACCATTATCATATAATATAATAATAATAAATGACCTTTTGGGTTTCCAAAGCTCGTTGGATATCCGAATAATGATTTACAAAATCCCAAAATTCCAATTTATGGTATTATCGATTTTTTAAAGAAATTTCTTTTTCTTCACCTTCTTTGTAAGAATTTTTGTAGTAGAATTCATTGTTTTCTTTGATGAGAATTTGCAGAATCGTTCGTTGATGACACCGGTCCGTTATTATTGACGGTATCTTTTAATTGTGGTAATTGGTGCAGAGGATTTTAAAATTTAATAACATTGGATTCATTTCTTAATATTTATTTCTCAATTTAAAAAAAAATTCTCGAGAAAAAAATCTATTGTTGATCAAACAAAATCTTTAAATTGTTCAAATATAAAAAATATAAAATTTTATTTTATTTATAATTTAGCAAAAATGCAAAATCCCTGGAATCTGCAAGTAGCAATTTCTTTGAAATATGTCAATATAGGCTATGTTAATGTATATAATATTGTATATATATCACATTGTTAATTTATTAATCTTACATATATTTTGATTTATTATTAGCATTAGTATTAGTAAATTAGTAATATATATATATATTGGAAAATAAAAAAATACTCAAAAGCCACTATTAATATTTTTAATAAATTATATTATTTGATATGATATATATCATATATCATATATATATATTTATTTAAGCAATTGGTCCAACTGGTGCCATTTGTGCATAAACAATTTCACCATCACCTTCCTCAACCTCAACTTCTTTACCATCCGGCATAACTTTTTTCTTTTTAAGTTTAATTATTCCAATTCCTGAGCCATATTTTTCTTTAGGTCCAAGTGGGATTGCATTTCTACCACTTCTACCATTATTACCACTACTTGGGACATTCCTAAGTCCAAACCATCCCATCCTAAATGCTATCTCATTTGCACATATTTCCCCCAATCCTAACATTACACCATTGATAAAAGGAAATATAAAGTTTATAGCAATAGTTGAAATAATTGATATAAATTTAGGTCGTCTATAAAAGGGTATAATATCTGTTTGTTGTTGTTGTTGTTGTTTAAATGATGACGATGATGATAAACTATCGTTACTACTGTTATTACTACTAACGTCATTGTAATTATAATTACTACCAAAACGAAAACTTGCTAAAGAGGTTGGTGTTGTTGGTGATGACATATTACTAGAATGTGGTGGACTACCGATCGTGGTATTTAGAACAACGTGTGGAACTATATCATCTGTTGCTGGTATTGTAGCTGCAAGAATAGGTGATTCGTTATGTGACTCGCTATGTGACATTATCTCGATATTTTTATTTTTTTTTGTTTTTTTTTGAGAACAATGATTTTTGATTGTCTCTCAAATTCTATTTTTGTATATGTATAATTGCAAGTTTTGGGAAAATTTGACTGCGCCGAATATTTTACAAATTTGTCGATTTGACTAAGATTTTGTAGCATTGATTAAAACGATTTTATATGAAATAAATGAATAAAATGATTACAAGTTTTTCAAATATTAAAAGTATTAGAGAATAAGACCAATCTTAAAATAGATTTTTAACAAATCATATAATATTCAATTCCTTCTGTTCGCAAGAGCTGAAATAAAATGATGCTAAAGACAGATAAAGAGATTATATATTTGAACCTATTTATATTCTTATAATATCATATACATAATAAGTAAGTCGATTGTGGAGCAAAGTTCACGTCACCAAAAACACTTATTTATACATCTAGCTCAATGATTATAGCAATTGGATTATGCCAGCTCAAACCAAGTAGTTAAAATAGGAAGATCAGTTGAAGATATTCGAACAATCTCGTTTCCGTTTAACAAGTATAGTGTGTTGTGGAACTAAACGTAGGTACGAACAGAGTGGTTAAGATGTACATAGTATTCAAAGAGAAAATAATGCATTTGTATTATTTAATTGTTCAAATATAGTTTGCTATATTTTTGATTTAATTTGAAAAAATTTTTTATATAAATTTTCACATTTACTATAAGGAGTGCTTAATCAAAAAGATGGTTTTATTATCTATGAACCAAAAAAAAACCTTTTTTTTTTCTTATAATTTAATTATAATCAACTTGTATATTTTTAATTATAATATCCTATAAAGCCCTATAACTAGCCAATAACAATAAATTAAAAGTTTTATATGTTAGATGAAATGGAAAATATAATAATAAAACCAAGCATAATAATACTAACTTGCTGATAATTCTTATTGACACATATACGCCCTTTCTAATATTTATTTGTCACCTAAGATAACGATGAATCTATAAGTGTATTATAGGATAAGTTAATCTATGAGTAGTATGTATAAATTCTGAAATATAATAATTACAATAAATTTACATGCGTACATTTTATTGTAAGAAGCTCTATCAACTTCATCAAAAAATACTAAAAGTAGATGAAATCCAGGAGTATGCTCTAATATGTTATATTACAAAGTAAAAAAATAAATTGACTTAAAAAATTACTTAAATTATATTCTTTTGTAGTAACTAAGTTAATCCACATCAAAAAGTATTATTTAGTTCATTTCTTCCAAACCCAATTCTATGCAACAAATTTTAAAAAGCTATAATGTCAAATATTTTGAAAACTGTCAACTATCAAATGAATTTCTAAACAAAGTTATTCGATTCCGCTTAATGACTTTCCAAACTTCGTTTCTAGACGATCTACATAATTTTAATTGACATCTTTATACTACTTGTAACAACACAAAATATTATGTTATAACTTAAAGAAATAGATAATAAAGGCTTGTATTTTTAATAATCATCAAGATTCTTTCTTCAAAAAGTAAATGAGAGCTAAAAAAGAGGTATTTCGTAACTTTATTTATTACTGAGGATTTTTGCAGATCGCAAGATAATCAGTCAAATTAGAGATCTTTTATTATTATATTAAAACTAGAATTTTTGATGTTGAATTTTCTACCTGTTTTCTAAGAATAATAAAATATGGCCGCGTGACAATTCTTTCTGATCGTACACCGCCAGATCTTACAAGAATATATCATAATTAATATATCATAAAAAAATGGAATAATATAATAATCTTTAAATCTAATTAATTATATATTTTGGTTGATAAAAAAACCAACTTAGCTTTTTTGTTGTTATTTAATCCTTTCCTTCTGTGAATATCTGCATCCATGATAATTATTCAATACATTTGATGTTGTCGATATACAAACAATTGCATCACCCAAGTAGTAAATAATACCAAGGCCATGCAAAAATAATTTTTTTTAATAATGCATGTCTACCAGTAGTTCACAAGAATAAATAAATAGGGATCCCAATAATAAATCTGATGTTGATCACAGGTGCTAGATTTAATTAAATTTTCCTTACCACAAACAATGGTACCGCCTCCATACTTGCAGAAAATTTTTACTACAAGTGAAGGCTCCCCAATGTTTGAAGGTTTTTTTATAAGGTCAACAAAAACTTTCTCTTATTTTCCCCTTGGACCAGGCTTGATTGTTGCTGTATGGGCATTGATCACTGATGAAGATCCGCATTTGTGTGATGATTGCTTTGTGTTATACCCCTCTAGAATAAAGTC